CAAAAAATGCGAAACTTTTCAAAAACATTTTGTCAAATGACAATTGAAATGCAATGAGAGATAGCAAGTGATGACAAAACTCGAAATGAAGAGTTCGTCAAATGGTTGTCTGAAAGTCAAGAATTGTTTGGCAAATATAATTTGAGGGCAGAATCACTGGTTTTGTCTGTAAATGACTTCTCGTCAGTCCAATAGTTAGCTGTAGTGCACAACTCGTGTGAATTCCTCGTTTCCATTGCTTAAACATACTCTTAAAAACAGGTGTCTATTGATTGAGGAGATATACACTGACAATCGCTATACCATTCCCTTCGCAAGACCTCATCCATAAAAGCTTAGCTTATTTGACACAAGCGTTTAAATCAAACAAAAGCAAACATAAGCTCATAAATGAGAGAACACAAGCCCTGGAAGATTAGGATTCTCTTTGGCTTTTTATTTGTTATCAAATTTTATAACTCTTTGATCGACGAGTCGTGGCGTATATTTCACCTTAATTTTAATATTCAAATGATTATACTTTTATTAGTGTTATTTTTATGACATAATATATTGTGTTACTATTCCTCTTATCTCGTCGTGCATTCAAAAAAAAACAACTTCAAGATTACGATTTGAAGTACAATAGTATAAAAAACGGGTCGATTAATGCCATTATCGGCGTATTTCCAATATATTGCAAAACTTATCAAACTATTGATTAATGGAAATGAATGTTTGCATGCATTCCTATATTTTGCAAAACATAGCGTTTGAATCAAAAACTTTCATCAATTCTGGGAATGTGTGTCAAACAGAGGACTAATATGTTTGCAATTACTATATATTTATCAATAGATAGCTATAGTCCTATAGATTAATAGTTTTGGGGAATTCGTAACTCTTAAGACAACAAACAAGAAATATAAAAGTGAGTCGATTAGGGACAGCCTTGTGGTATACGGGAGAGCACAGGTGTGTGAACAACATTTGTGTGGACACAACCATTACAGCGCTGTCCAGAATTGTTGGGCACATCTGTACAACTAAACCAAAGGATGAAAACTTTATTTGACGTTTGAATTATACCTTTGCATATATTGCGCTCCTCTTTTGCCCATAACTTTAAGGTATTACAAGTCATTTGAAAGCACGTGCGCTCTGTTTTATGGCATTACATCTCTCTCTCTCTCTCTCTTCCAACGGCTCTCTCAACCCAAACCCCACACAACCATCACATATACAGAGAATTCAATACAATAGAAATTAAACAAAAATTGGCAAATATTTTAATTCATGAGAAATGCAAATAAATGTATCAAATATTTCGCATAAAATTAAGAAAGATTTTCAAATAAAATTATTTAAAGAATTTAAGTCTTCGTTAGAATTGTCTTAATTTAAGTCAACGTTTCTCTGTTTAAGAGTATATATAAAAAGTTTATGGAAAATATATAATACTGTGAAAAATATAAGTTAAATATAAATCAACTAAATTTAGTATAAATCATAAATTGATTATTGATTAAGCTTTTGGTATAAAGTAAATCAAACGCGTGAGCATTGATGTGACGCACGGGATCTGTTTCTTCTGGTGGAAAGTGGGGTCTCCGGGAACGCAGGACTCGAAATCATAGGCCACTAATCGGCTCACGATTGTCATCATTGTTAGCAAATCCAGATTTGCTGAATGTTTGCCCAACACTTGGGTCAACGCCTGTATAAACCACGAGCCCTGAGTCGTGTTTCGCCACGAATAAAATCCTAATAAATCATTGTTTACATTATTTTTCTAATAAACATTTTCGTGTTGACAAACGGCTGATAAATGGCAATACCCGGGACAGTGCTGTAGGCGATCAAGAAATCCGCATAATTTGGGATCCGATAGAAATCATGTCCAGAATCGGTCACATCTAATGATCTGCGAACAGCGACTCCTGCATCGAGACGGTCGCCCTGACAGGCCTTTTGGCGCAACCATTCAGATATCTATTAGTGACTGCTATTATTGGGTTCAAAATGTATACCTGAATGAAGAATATCTTGGGTTTGGCGGCCAGAGTGGGGCACTGATCGCCTTTGAAATAACTGAACACATTATCGGTGTAGTACTTCTCGTCTTTGGCCCATAGGATTCCCTGCTCTCCATGTGTTAGAATGCAAACCACAATACAATCGCTTTCGCTGTGATCTTCTTTTGACACTAATTTTATAAAAAATTGTTTCAATAAATGTTATGTAAAACTCTGTGTTATGAAAAATAGTTAATTAGTTTTATTAATTCAATTGTATATTAAAATAACCATATTTTGCATTAACAACAAACTTATTTCTGGTGATTAAAACTTAATTAAAGCGTTAAAGGAGTGACCAATTCATAGCTTTTTCAGTTTAATCAATAAACTTATTAAAAAATAACTTATTTTTATAAATCTTCAAAAAATCTCACTAAACATACAATTCATTTCAATACACATTAAATGACTTATGAAATGAATGCAATGAATACCTGCTTCTAATGTGGAAGTAATGGTTTTAGCGGACGGGTCTTCATATATCCTAACGTCAAAGTCAAGTGACCTGAAGGAGCCGTAGAGCGCCCGGCCGTCGCATTCAGTGCCTCGTCTCTCATTGAGTCGAGTGTGCGAATCAAACGTACGGTTATTAAATATCAGACATTTTCCGCGCTTTTTGTGTTTCATATGATATGTGAGACTCTCGACAGGCGTTGAGAGACGAGCCAACGGCTGACAACCAGGTCTTGCTTTGAAACTGCAATCAAGCGATAAGATTAACACAATTGTCGTCAAAAACAGATCATACGATAAGATAGGGCTGTAATTACACGTCAAATATACTCCTGGCGTCCACTGAATCGCCGTTTCTAACCATTAGTATGGGCTCTGAAGCGGACATCTCTTGGCCATCGCCGCCGCCCTCGACGTTACCATTAGCTGCAAAAACAATGCGTTCATTACGTGACACAAACGTATAGTTGATAGCAATTAATTGTCACTCACTATTGTCTTCGTCAATACTGTTGCTCATGTCTTCAGCTCTTGGATCCATTATCTCAACGATTATTTGGTATAAATGCCTGAAAAATAATGTCACAAAACATGTGAAAGTAAAACCAAATGCAATTGTTTGCCATTAAAGCGATAATTAAGTGATTATTACTCACAAAAGTGTTACAAACATGTGATGCAAAAAGAGTGGATCCGATCACAGCATCCAATCCTTAAGATCCTTCTCTTTCAGTCTCTTTCTCTTATCGTTCACTCAATCGATGACTCAATCCTTGCGTTCAATTCAACGCCAAAACAAAAGACAAGTTTTTTTTGTTTTGATTTTTTTGCACCACTTTTTTGAGGCAACAAATCAGCGCTTTGTTTGCAATTCAATTAAGGGATCGCATAATCATTACACACGACAACACTTGTGGCTATACTCTTGTGGTGTTTGATTGGATGCACAGAATTACTGAATTAATATTAATTATTATATTAATTAATATTAATTATTATTCATTTTTTGCGACATATAGTTAATATGTGTTATGTTTTAATTATATCTGACATATGATATGATTTTTATGCAAACAATTTACGCGATAAACACTTTTTGTAACTTTATTTTCGTTTATCTCCTAAAGAATCCTTGACTTTAAAATAGCAATGAAATCATGAAATCATATATTTATTGATTGCAGAAAAATGTGTTAAATATGCTTAATATATATTGATTGACACTTTATTAATTTCAATGCATTTACATTTATATATCGATAAATTGCAATTAAATAGCATTTATATATAGATTAAACAATTTAATTATTGCAAAAATAAAGTTTGAATTTTATTACCCTTAATAACAATGCTATAAAATCAGTTTAATTAACAGTAAACAATTAAATATATAATTTTAATTACAATTTTCATAAATAAAATTGAAAAATGTAAGGAATTGCATGATGCTTAGAAAATGCAATATAAATACATTAACGCAAATATTCTGTATATAATTGGCTGTAAAAAGCCTTCACTAATAGTACCGGAAATATGTTTAGTTAAAGATTTAAAATGTGTTGTAAAAAGCAGTTAAAATCTAGTTTTAATATTAGATCCGAAAGCATTAAATTGTAAAACACTATTAGTGTTGCAATTGTTTAAAAATAGTATTACAAAAGTGTTTATTTAACTGATCTGAGAAAATATTGCTAATTTATGCCAAATAACCAAAAAAGGCAATCATTTAATTATATTATGATTTTTCATTGACTTTGAATGATATGTTAAGAGCAATAATTGCAAAGCAATTGCAAAGTTTATTGAAAAAAGTGTGCAAACAATTGCACAGTAAGACTAAATTGAAAGATTAGCACAAGTAATACATCTCACGACCGATACATCACTTGTCATAAGATTATACGACAAGAGATGCGTTCAATAGACACATGAGTTATGCAACAAAAAACTCATAAATCATTGGAAAGAGTGTCACAAATCATAGGGTTTGGCAAATATCTTAAAGTCCATTGGCTTTGGCTCTGGATTTATAGTGAAAAACACAGAAAACCTTTGAAAATCATTGTTTGGAAATAGATTTCGTAATGTAATTAACACTTTGCATATATTTGTGATTTATTTGTCAATTAATTGAAAAGTTATTTATTTTTAAGTCAATTCTTAATAAATATTGAATTGTTTTATTAAATATATAATATTTTTATATAATGAGATGTTTTTAAAAAATGTTGATTCGTTTAAAACTCGATTAAAATATAATTCATTCCTAAATAAAATAATTCAATTAAATTTAATAATAAAATACATTATATTTGTATTTTAAGTCATTTTAAGCACTTTAAGTAATTTCAAAACTCATTTGCGAGAAATGATCTGAATTTTGGTGGAAACGGACACTCGGGGTCGGAATCGGTGGTCGTTTTACTGGATGTCTGATTACCGGTGCGTTCACTGCAACTCATTTCAATGGATTCGCTACAACTCAACGACATATTTGTTTGAATCGATTTGTCGTACATTTTAACCGTTTGTGTCATTTGATCCATCGATGAGGAGTCGATCGCTTGAATGCCAACACTTCTAACCGTTATATTCCGTTGTCTGCCATCGATTCGACTTATATTTGGATCAAATGAAACACGTCTTGAGCTGTCGGCTAATGGAGTAGACGTTCGTATCATTGAATCGGATATTTGTCGCAAACTTTGTTCAAATCTTTTCAATTTCCTGTCAATTATTTGATCCAAAAGTTGTTCAAAATTAGAGACATTAAACTTTTCCGGCGATGTCTTCGAGTGTTTCGGCGAATCCATTGTCTTTGGCAAAGAGTTGTCAATATCACCGCCAATAGACAGGTTGTCATCGGATCCAACCGTAGTTTCTATGCGATCAACGGTTCCAGTGATTAAATCTGTGTTAATATCAGTTGTCACTAAATTGTGGTCATTTGTCTGGTCATAACAAATGGTAGACTCATTGGATTCCTCGACAACAGAGAACGCCTGTGATAAAGCCCGTGAAAACTGGTAATGAAGTTGCCTGCCGGGCAGTCAGAACCTAGAGAACCCAGAAGCCCGCTGCTAACCAGAAGACCACCAGCTGGAGAACTCTCACTCAGGCAAGTGTCTCAACAACTGGTAATCAAAATGTGTCCTAAACTGAAAGGGAGGCAAAGGAGAGACGAGACTGACTCGTGAGGGACTGAAGTAATAGCCGTCACATCTGGTCAGACATGAGGTGAGCCGAAACGAGTTGATCCACGAGTTAACCCTTGCCTTCAATTTGATCCGTCGGTGTCTTACGAACCGAAAGAGCGGACACTTCTTCACCCTATCGTCCATTTGTGACACAAATTCATTATAAATGCTATCATTTGTGACCAAAATCTTGCGATTGATCTCTCATTTCAATAGTGTTTCAAAACAACAAATATTTGTTTTTTCCGCAATTCATTTGATTTGTGAATTGCTTTTCAATAAATACAGTCTATTCTCGCTATGAGTGCTAATTGTGTGTCAATTGCAATGCATTGCAATCCATTCAATGCTCTCATTAACAGTAATATATGAGTATTGAATAGGGATGACACAATACACGAACAAATTTTGCCATGGATTCATGTATTATTCGTATACTATTATATACAATGCTTAAGAACTAGAAGCTAATGTTAACCTATGGGTAATGGTAATTTATGAACTTACATATAAAATAAAATATTGAATATTTTCTTAAATAAAATTACTTTTACATGTTTATTTTTTAAAACTATAATTTACATTTTATAATTTTAAAATAAATTGATAAAATTGCATATGTTTTGGTGAATTTTGTCCATTTTCAGCAAATATTGTAAATAATAGACGCCATGTTATATGTATGGGAAATCTTGCATAAAATCGTACATGAATTAAAACACATATATTATATACTGTATAATAGATATAATACATATGATGTATTACTCCATCCTTAGTATTGAAGCACTCATTCAGTGATTAAGAGTTACTGTATTAGTAATCAAACAAAATAGCATTTATTTTGTTGTATAATTGAAATGCATTTTATTTCAATACATTAATTCTGTACTTAAAATAGTTTTTAATACTTTTAAAAGTTTTAAATTTTACTTTTCTATATACTATTTAGGCAATGTTTTTCATCCTATGAAAACTTTTAATCCTCAAATTTATGCTCTCTCTCTCTCTCTCTCTCTCTCTCTCTCTC